TGTTGATTGACAGTGATGGACCCAGGTCAGAATGGCCTGTAGACAAGATTGCTCTGTTCACCCAGATCACCAAGACATCCTGAGAGTAGTACGGGTTTTGTGCCGAGGCACTACTACTCTAAAAACATTAGAGAAGTTGGTACCTCTCGAATTAGCAGAACGAGAGTGTTCAACAGAACCAATTTCACCTACAGTTTCCGAGGACAACAATTCTGATCCACCGAGCACTCGCCCACTTAGAGCCGCTGCTCAACAATGCAAACGGAAACTACAAACCTATTATAGCTCTGATTGAGAGCAAATAAATTACCATCCAATTCAAGGTAATCATGATGATACCGTGTTGTGATGTCCAGTAACTAATCAGTTACAAGTCACAGTGACCCAGGATATTCACTTCTCTGTGGATTCTACGTCACCTTGAATTGTATGCTTCCATTATTAATTTGTTTGTGTAGGCTATAAACTACACCATTATTACATCTAGAGTACTGCAGAGTTTACAAAGCTTTAAGAGTTAGTAACCTAACCGTTACACGTCATAGTGACACCAGTCATTGAGTATATAGTAGGCTTTAGTTGTTATTAACTTTAGATGATTTATCATTCAATGTTCTACATTTAACTTTAATTCCTTTACAAGACTTAGAGTCTTATCTGTCCTTGACAAATATGGGACATCCATTATGTGCGTACTAACATACTAACATTAAATTAACTTCAGGATAGGTACGTCAGTACTCAACATTGAACTGCAACTCAAGTTTCCCCCCCCCCCCTGGAGTTATGTTGGAAATTTCCAACACTGATACATCTCTATTGTATCACAATACACTACTGTTGTATATTAACCACAATATCAATTAACCTTACTAACTGTAATACTAACATAAATAAATATTTCTGTATCTGCGCATTAATTGCTGAAATTCTCACGACATCGAGAGACAGGATTGCGTCAGATAATGTCTATCTAGACATTTATTACCAATATGTTAGAGAATTGAATATGGTTCTCTACTTTTATCAGTATTCTGTATAATAATTAATTACTGATATCATTACTCCTAATGATCCAATAACTGAGAGTTATTAACTAAGATTATCACTAAATAACAGTTTTATCTGTTATATACAAATGCCATGGAAATATTTCCCATTTCTTGTTAATAAGGAAACGGTGCTTAATCAACACTATCTAGCGAGAATATAAACAATATAGTTCCCTACAATTGCAACCCTATTCTTTTAAAGCATTACTTCAGTATTTACACGGAAAAGAATTCTCCGTGATTACTAAATTCTATTGTGAATGCAAGGAGGGGGTTGAGGGGGACGCAAGCGACAAGCCGCCATTCCTCACGTGTCCGACTGACGATTAGGAAGGGAAGTCGCGTGGAGGTGGTGTGACTGAACAGTTTTTCAACACTAATTATGTTGCAACTCCACCAATAGTCACCAATTACCTCTCCACGTGTTCTACAGTGCCTACCAGTTAATAACGCATCAACAATTGAAGTCACGGGCCGTAATTACGCGTACAGAGCAGTGGACGCCTGGGACTGGCAGACGCGGTTTCGGAAGACTTTAGTGTTTGACACGCTCACGTTAAGTATACTATACTTGTTTGATGCATCATTCTAGATTGTGTATTTGTGGGTAGTCTGTTGTTATGTAGCAAGAACAACAACTATACAGCGTTAGTTGATTTTCTTCATTTATTTCAATTTCAATGAATACTGAAATAATTCATAGCCTAATATAATGCTACATAATTTTTCCTGATTGCAGCTTGTAGACGAGGAGTTAACAAGTTGTTTCTCATCACTCACGATATTCTCCACTGGTTCCCTCTTTGTTGGGATCTTGTGATCACGAGGACGCGTAACGAAACGAAATTACAGAAGTCGTCTTACGGCTAAGACACCCGTTTTCATATAAATTTAGCTAAGATTATTATTAGTTTCTATATAAATTCACATATGGAATATTTACAGTTAATGCCAGAATTTATTCAACCAGGAATGTAAGGTAGCAAAGAGACTGAGTAAAAGAACATGGAGAAACTACAGAAATAACTGAACACCGGAGAGCAGGGAGAGATACTCGAGGGCCAGAAATGAGTACCTCAGAGTGAGAAGGGAAGCAGAGAGACAGTATGAAAATGACTTCGTGAATAAAGCCAAGACCCAACCAAAGCTGCTCCACAGCCATATTAGGAGGTAAACAGCAGTGAAGGAACAAGTGATGAAACTGAGAAAAGGGGAGAACAGATACACAGAGAATGGCAAGAAGGTGTGTGAAGAACTCAATAAGAGATTCCAGTAGGTCTTCACAATAGAACAAGGAGAAGCCCCTGCACTAAATGAGGAGGCAAACTAAGCAACCTTGGAGGAATTTGACCTCCCAAGTGATGAGGTCAAAAAGTGTCTGTTGGAGCAGGATGTGACAACGGCTGTTGGGCCTGACAGAATCTCACCATGGGTTCTAAAGGAAGGTGCAGAAGCATTAAGTTTGCCACTCTCTATGGTGTATAACAGGTTACTGGAAGCAGGAAACCTACCAGAAAGTTGGAAGACAGCTAACGTAGTCCCAATATACAAGAAGGGTGACAGGCAGGAGGCAATGAACTACAGGCCAGTTTCCCTAACTTGTTTACCATGCAAGGTGATGGAGAAGATCGTGAGGAAAAGGCTCGTAGAGCATTTGGAGGGAAGTAGCGTTGTAACACACCACCCACATGGGTTCAGAGATAGTTTATCTTGCCTCACAGGTTAAATGGAATTCTATGACCAGGCAACAAAAATTAGGCAGGAAAGAGAAAGGAGGGCAGATTGCATATGCCTGGACTGCAAGAAAGCTTTTGACACAGTACCCCATAAAAGGCTGTTAAAAAAATTGGAGCAACAGGTAGGGGTAAAAGGGAAGGTGCTCCAGTGGATAAGGGAGTACTTAAGCAACAGGAAACAGCGAGTAACGGTGAGGGGGTTAGACATCAGAGTGGCGAGATGTCACCAGCGGAGTCCCACAGGGCTCAGTACTTGGACCCATCCTGTTTCTTATATATGTAAACAATCTTCCAGAGGGTATACTCATTCCTTTCAATGTTTGTTGATGATGCAAAAATTATGAGACGAATCAAGACAGATGAAGACAGACAGAGACTACAGGATGACCTGGACAAACTGGAGGAATGGTCTAGAAAATGGCTGCTAAATTTCAACTGAGGAAAGTGTATAGTGATAAAATTAGGCGAAGGGAGCAGGAGGCTGCACACAATGTACCATCTGGGAGGTGAAATCCTGCAATAGTCAAATAGAGAGAAAGATCTGGGGGTTGAAATCACACCGAACCTGTCCCCAGAGGTCCACATCAAAAGGATATCATCAGCGGCATATGCTAGGTTGGCCTACATAAGAACTGCCTTTAGAAACTTGTGTAAGGAATCGTTCAGGACCCTGTATACCACTTATGTCAGACCAATCCTGGAATATGCAGCTCCAGCCTGGAGTCCATACCTAGTTAAACACAGAACAAAGTCAGAGAAGATTCAGCGGTAGGCCACCAGGCTTGTCCCGGAACTGAGAGGAATGAGCTACGATGAAAAGCTAAAGGAGCTGAACCTCACGTTCCTGGAAAACAGAAGAGTAAGGGGTGACATGATAACCACCTACAAAATTCTCAGGGGAATTGACTGGGTGGACAAAGACAAACTCTTCAGCACGGGTGGGACACGAACAAGGGGACACAGGTGGAAACTTAGTACCCAGATGAGCCACAGAGACGTTAGAAAGATTTTTTTTAAGTGTCAGAGTAGTTAATAAATGGAATGCACTAGGAAATGATGTGGTAGAGGCTGGCTCCATACACAGATTCATATATAGGTATGATAGAGCCCAGTAGGCTCAGAAATCTGTTCACCAGTTGATTGACGGTTGAGAGGCGGGACCAAAGAGACATAGCTCAACCCCCGCAAGGTTGAGTACATCTAGGTGAGTACAACTAGGTGAATACATAACTCACGCTCACACAAATGGATACATGATCCACACACAAATGGACACATGACCCACACACAAATGGATACATGGCCCACACTCACACAAATGGATACATGACCCCTCACACAAATGTATACATGACCCACACACAAATGTATACATGACCCACACACAAATGGATACATGACCCACACTCACACAAATGGATACATGACCCACACTCACACAAATGGATACATGACCCACACACAAATGGATACATGGCCCACACTCACACAAATGGAGAAATGACCCACACACAAATGGATACATGACCCACACTCACACAAATGGATACATGACCCACACTCACACAAATGGATACATGACCCACACTCACACAAATGAAGACATGACCCACACACAAATGGATACATGGCCCACACTCACACAAATGGAGAAATGACCCACAAACAATGGGTACATGACCCACACTCATACAAATGGATACATGACCCACACTCACACAAATGGATACATGACCCACACTCACACAAATGGATACATGACCCACACTCACACAAATGGATACATGACCCACACTCACACAAATGGATACATGACCCACACTCACACAAATGGATACATGACCCACACTCACACAAATGGATACATGACCCACACTCACACAAATGGATACATGACCCACACTCACACAAACAAGATTTACTGTAATACAGTAAAGGTATATTCTTCCCTTGTCTTAGGCGTGTGAGACATGTTAGTACCGAGAGTCCACTCATGACCCTCCAGGGTCGCTGGAGGGACGGCTTCACACCTTGCAACATGTCAACAAATATACTATTCTAACTTAACTAAAGACATTAATAAAACCAACAGCAACAGCAATAATATAATAATAATAGTGATAATAATAAAAATAAAAATAATAATAATAATAATAATAATAATAATAATAATAATAATAATAATAATAACAATGTGAATAGTGGCATTTACCTTCATATTGTTGGCCGTTAATGGTTATTGTCAGTGGATCTGCCATGTTGGTGTGGGCAGGTATCTGTAATACATAATAAGATAAGAATTAAGGAAACTGCAGAAGGCCTATAGGCTCAGGCACCGAAGCTAGTATTTATATCCACCAAAGTTTATTCACATATGTCTAACCTACGCTTGAAACAGTTCAGCTGTCCCACGCCTAAAATGTTTCCCAGTGATTGGGTCCACATATCCACAATCCAGTTCCCAACCAACCCAATATTTACCCAGGTCTTTCCTATATCTAAGCTTATATAACTTATATTCATTGTTTCGTGTTTTATTTGTGTTGATGTTTTATAACCTTATTAATATTTCCACTTGTTTTGCCCATTCATCTACTTATACACTTCAGTCATGTCATCACTATCTCTTGGCCTTGCTAAATAATGTAAATTAAGCTTTCTCAATATCTTCTCATATGGAATATTTCTAATTAGCGGGATTTTAATTATTAGAATAATTATTCTAATTAAATTTAATTTATGTCCATTCATCAGTATGGTGACCAAAATTAAGCTGCATGATCTAAATGGAGCATAATAAACTTTCCATCCTCTCAAAAAGTATATCTCATTTTGATGTATAAATCCCCTAAAGCCAATTCCATTCATCTGGGCTCTAGGAGACTCGAACCGTGGACCCCACACATGTGAGGCTGAAACTCTATCGACTGAGCTATTGAGTGGTCTTAATAAGGAAAGATTCCTTACAGCCGTCCTTTATATACCGTGGGCGTGGATCACTAATTACAGCCGTCCTTTATATACCGTGGGCGTGGAGCACTAATTCCTCTGAGCCTCAGTATGCTGCTCCTGGAATCTTTCCCTAATAAGACCACTCAGTAGCTTGGTCGCTAGAGCTTCGGCCTCACAAGCGTGGGGTCCACGCTTCATGTCTCCAAGAGCCCAGGTGAATGGAATGTTTATTTCCCCTAGAGCCAAAAACTGATTTGTTATAAATGGTAGCGGCTCAAAAAATTGACGTGATGTCCCGTTTATTTTCCATGGTCCTCCGTCAGGTCAGGTTCGGGCAATTCAGTACATCAGTTTAGTGACGTTGGGAACTATCAAAAGGATTAGCTGTAACAAGAGCAAGATGCAACTGAAGAATAACGTTGCTTTATTGCCATTGCATCTGGGAATAAATCTCAGTATTGAATTTGACTGATTCAAAACATTTCTGCACTGCTTTTTGGGCTTTAAACTCCTACTAATCATGACCTTCAGATCTTTTTCACATTCAGACTTAACAATATCAGCTCAATCCAGCCGATTCCACCAAGGAGATGTCCCGAGCCCCAACTATTAAACATTTCCATGAATGTCATCCATAATACTTTTTTTACCAGAAGAAGTACAAGTATGATATACAGATGTCGTCATGGCAGAAAGCCCTTATAAAGATGTGGTCCATTTAACTCTCTGATAGAAAATACACTGAGCTTGGCTTAATTATCTCTACAAATATGACAAAGGCCTATACTTCCATGACAAGCGGTGAGAAAATGAAGTCCTGCAAATTCATGGTGAAGCTCTAGAGTAAGTTGACCACATTAACCAAGCCGGTAGCTGTTTGCACTAGTGAAGAAAATAAAGAAGAGCTTGATCAACTCTTAGCAACATGCAACAGTTGTCTCGAAGCCCAGAGAGATATTTCCTGGATAGTTATGGGGATAGCATTGCCGTACTTATATTGATGTGCACAACAATGTCCTCTCCGTCATAACCAATGTCCCACTACTCTTATGCATATTCTTAAACTACATGGAAAGCTTGACATCGTTTAAAACGACTTTATAACAATAATTTTTGAAACAACAAAATCTGCCAAAAGATTGAATCTACAAGAAATAGAATTTTCTAGGACGAAAGGCAGGATCAAGGACCCATATGCTGAGTTTGCTATTAAGAATGTGACAGATCCTCATTATATTGACACTGCCAAGAAAACGCAGAGTTCTGAATAGATTATAAGAGAAAAAAGAAACAGAGTTGATGCTTGTAAGAGTGGCTGTTCCCTGGGAAGATGAACAATGCACAATTAACAATAACTGAGATGACAAGGAAAACGTCCAGCATGTTAACCCCGAGAAATGAGACATGCATCGAGGAAATTAATTGAAACAGAAATTGTACTATAGCGAGTCCCCCACTCAGGGCAGGGCTGAGAACCCCACACGCACTAAACACGTGTGGAAAATTCCACCCCATCATATTAATATTATTATCTAAGGAGTGTAATATTTCCATATCATATCCATATTTTACATCAGAATCATATCTTTACTGATGATTTAAGAATCATCAGTATCTTCATCAGCATCCTACATGACCATTTGGTCAAGTACACGATTGGGCATAATGTCTTCGTGATTGTACATGTAATTTAAAAAATCTAGAAGCTTCCAGATAATCCAAAATATTCTATGAACAAAATTATTGCTTCCAGTGACGTATTTTCAAAATCCTTAATAAAGGACAAATTCTACTATTAAGTACTGCCAATAATCTTCAAATGCACTAGGTGTTTATCTTGTGACATAACTTTATCACAATAATCAGTCTATATAATGAAAATTTTCAATTTATAATCATTGCCGGCACCTTGACAGGAGTGGAGGGGGGCGCCGCCGGTGGGCAGAAGCATCCAGTACCGGAGCTCCTGGTGTTTACGTCGGAACGGTGTGCACGTGTGAGGTGCTGGAGACATTTTGCAACAAGATATTTACGTATAAACTAATTGTAATCCTCAGTGGTGACTTCCTGGATATTAGGGAGTTCCTGAACCTTATATAGGGAGGAATTCCTAATACATTTATCCACAGTAAGAGTGTGGAGGTCCACTCCAGCAGGTGAGGCCGCCACCACCACCTCATCCACCAAGATAGACGCAACAGCGTGTACACTGTATCCTAGCAAGGTACTAGAATCCTTAACAGCAACGCTGTGACATCAAAATCAACAACATCAAGCTGCCATATCTATCAAAATAGACAGCCTGGTCTCAACAAGAGAGATATCATCTGGCAACTCTCAGAAAGGCTCCAGTTCTCAATTTTGGATAAGTATTAAGTGTTATTTGTAATGTATTGATTGTCTAATTGCATGTTTTATAACTTTAATAAGTCCATATATAAAATGAGAGTCGTTAGGCAGCGAGGCAACGCCTCATCAATCAATAAGTTTTGACTTGACCTATTCAGTGACGGATTCTTTAGCAGCATTACAACTATCTACCAGTACATTAAAAAACATTGAAGGAGGAATAACATTTTGTGATTCTAAATCTGCTTTTCAGGCAATCGAAAACTTCTCCTGGAAGATCGACAGCAAGAGCCTCATACTACCAATTATAAATGATCTAATTGCTGCACAGAGTAAAGGTTCTCGAATCTCTTTTATATGGATACCTTCACACATAAATATAACCCATCATAATGAGACAGACATTGCAGCCAAGTTATCGTGCAACAAAGATGAAGTTGAATTAGATCTAGGTATCCCCATCTCTACTGTCAAAACTATATTGGTCCAAACACTCAGGTCTGACAGGAAAGAAATTACTGACTCCCAACGACCTGAAAGTACTAGTATTAAAAGCTTTGATTTGTTCAGATCTGAAACCTATATCTATTGGCAGCACAAAACGTTCACCAGACTGTGCGAAACAGTGGTTGCAAGGATCAGGTTGGGTTACCGTTTCCTATGGCAGGTGGCTACAGGTGACGGATCTCCCAATCCTGGGCACTCCAGGTGCAAACTCTGTGAGCAGGAACTGCGGCATGATTTCCCACACTACATCACCGAATGCCCAGTTATTAGACCTTTCAGACTAGTTAGCATGAGGTACCTGGAGCTTTGCAATTACGTTATTCACTCTCGTATACTTGAGGATATCCTCATATTGCATCCAAAATTTGCAGTGCAGGCTACTAAACATATGGCCCGAATGACTAACCATCCTGCGAGATGGGGGACTTATATTACCTCTGCTACCTTTTTCACTCTTGTGTTGATGATATCTTCAAAATGCATCCGGAGTCTGCCAGTGCAGACTGCCTATCACAGGCCTCTGTATGACTAATTATCCTGTGTGATGGGGATATTTTAGCATCATGTAGTTGAATTTTTTGATACACTGTACTCCACTTCATATAGTCTAGGGTAACTGCACAGATGCAGATGTACCTCATGTATTAATTAAAAAAAAATAATATTGAAGAATCCTTCATATAAATCTGATCTATATTTGAGTATATATAGTCATCATGTGCATATAATATTTTCTTTGCATATTTACATGTACATTATTCTTGTGTAATTGTAACTTGTTGTGTGTACTATTACATTCTGATTATTGGCTGCTATAATATTGTCAGAGCTGGGCTAGACAGCGTATATTGTTCATATCCCTGGTCATGAACCGTACCAGTGTTTACAGTTATAGAACTGTGTTTATCAATTTATCCTTGAAAAAATATACAAGTTTAATGTGTTGAAATACCCGCAGGTATATTGTGGTTCGTCTATCAATTACCTAGATCAGCCTTAAGGACCCTACCTGCTACAGCCCATTACCAGTATCAAGGACACAGAGGATTAATTGGACTTACAATCTAAACATAGGACATTTGCCCTTTGCTAAGAATTAGCTTTCATATTTTAGTATTCAAATGTAATATGTTCAGTACTTAATTTTTTTCAAGTCCTAAGTATTTCCTCTTTATCAATATAATCAAGGTATTTTTCCCACATTTATGGTCCTTCTTGTAACCGAATATTACAGTAGCAAAATACATAAGAAACTTATATTTTCCATTGGAGTAATTATATATAATTTAGCCTATTCTTCTAGCTGTGAAGAAATATAGCAGTGGTCAGCACTGACTCAAGAGCTGCAGGAAACACAAGAGGAGTCATGGTCAGTACTGCTTCAAGAGCTGCAGGAAACACAAGAGGAGCCCTGGTCAGCACTGACTCAAGAGCTGCAGGAAGAACAAGAGAAGTCTTGTCAACCAAG